GGGAACGCGCAGATCTGCCCTCGCAGAGGAGGGAGAGCTTGTACCTGAAGGCGGGCTGGGGGGGGGGCTCTGCAATTTACCTGGCTGCTTCTTCCTCCTCGTGGCCCGACTGAGGGCTGCTGGGAGCAGGGGGCGGGGCTTGTTGCATGTGCCCGCCCCCTGGGCTCCTTACTGCTGGAGCTCCGCTCCTTTGCGCTCCCGCAGGACATGACCCCTGCTCTTAACCCTTTTCCTCCCAGATCCTCTTGTATGCAGAGTTACAAAAGCCGACATCTTCTTTCTTCCTATGTTCGATTTGAGTCTGGCGGCACCTTATAGATGACAAAAGGGTTTGAGATGATGAGCTTTCAAAAGTCAAGCCTCCCTTTGTCAGGTCCCCCGAAATTCTTCTGGGTCTCTCAGGCGTAACCAGATCCGAATCCAGCCCTTCTACCACAGACCCACACAGCTTTGCTCTGAAAACCCTCTTGCCACGATCATGTTTGCGTCTCGCCGTGGAGGGGAGTAGGTGACTCCGCCGGCTTGGGACGGTTCCCCCCCCCACGCCGTGACTCGTTTCCTCCTTTCCTTCAGGTGCCTCAGGCCCCCATGAACAAGGAGGACTTCACCCTCGTGCAGCGCCGCGGAGTCGGTCTCTCTCCGGAGACGGCCGCCCAGTACACGGAGCTCGTGAAACTGATGAGGCAGCAATACGAGGTTAGCAGGCTTGGGGCGGGCTTTGGAGGCGATGCGGGGCTCGGGGGGGGCGGAAGAGCTGGGAGCGTGAAGCGCGAAGATGCCTTGGCCTCCCCTTGCGGGAAGAGGCCCACCGAACGTGATGCGGAGCAGGCATGGATCGCCCCGCTGGGCCTCATCATCATCGTCTCTCATCTTCAAGTAGTCTAGCAGTACCGTAGAAGCCAGAAAGATATTTCAGGATATAAGTTTTCGGCAAATTATTATTCGGTACAAACTATTATTCGGTACAGCATCGACTCTCCAAAGCCCATGCCCCGAAAATTATGTTGGTCTTTAAGGCAATGCTTCTCCAAGCTGTGGAGTCCCACGAGCACAAATTCTACTCTGCGAGGTGCCGGCATTAAAGTTGTGAGCGGGTGATTTGGCTGCTGCATTAAGGTCCTGGTCACACGTGCCGGAAAATGCAGGGGGGGGGGAAGCGAGGCTATTGGTGCTCGCAGTAATTTGACCCGCCGCTTTGCATTCCGACGCGACGGTGAGTGAAGCGGGTGGTATTCCTCGCAGCCGGCTTCCAGTGCACTTCATCCAGGAACCAGTGACGCGATTGGAGCGCGCCGGAACGATCACACCGGCAACTCCGTCCCCGGCCCGTCGCAACCTTGTTTGATAGTGGACTTTCCGTGGTTGTTTTTTACTCCACTTCTTTGGATGACTGCTACGGGTTGCCGACGGGTGCAGGACGCTGGCCAGATGTGTCCGTTTGATCGCGCCGGTAAAATCCGGCCGCCGTTTGTGAGTATCCCGCAGCAAATTCGGCGTGTGACCGGGGCCTAAATCAGTTTGGAAATTGGATTGGGAAATTGGAAATTAGTCTGCTCTGGAAAGCCCTCCTTCTTGAGTGAAGGCAAAAATATGCGAGCCAGAGGCTAAAAGACTGTGAGCTGGCTCACACTGACTCAGCTTAGAGGGAACACTGTCCTACTGCAGCATAAGACAACTGTCCTCTGAAAACAGTGTTTGGCTTTCGGTTGTCCTTTCTCTGCCGAAACGGTCTCTTGCTGGGTGCTGGGGGAAGTTAACTGGGGAGGGTCTTGCAGCCTTCTTGCTCTGCCTGTGACTTCCAAGAGGCCTCCGGCAGGCCCTCGTGGGGGTGGGGGGTGGTAGGCTGGATTAGACCTTTCCACGAGGGCTCTTAGGGCCCGACGAGACAAGGGAAGGCGAAGAGCCACGACTGTCCCGTGCCTGTCTGCTGCCCACATGGCTTCTCTCTCTTCGTTATTCCAGATGTGCATGAATTATTCCGGGCAGTTCACCCATTTGGGAAACATCGCAGAAACCACCAAGTAAGCCTGCATGTCGGTCACGTTACCGCTACATCTCCATTCCCCACTATGCTCCCTCTTCATTTCTTTTTGTATGCCAAATATGAATGCGGACAAGCCACTCTAAACCACTTGTTGCCTATTTGGGACTTTCTCTTGATCCTCTCATGGCTCAGTGGAAAAGCCTCTGCTTGACATGCAGAAGGTCCCAGGTTCAATCTGGGCAACTCCGGTTGAAAGGACCAGGCAGGAGGTGATGGGAAGGACCTCTGCCTGAGACCCTGGAGAGCTGCTGCCAGTTTGAGTAGGCAATACTGCCCTTGATGGGCCAAGGGTCTGATTCAGTATAAATCAGTGTCATGTATTGGGGGAGGGCCTTATGGCATAGCTGCATGCAGAAGGTCCCAGGTTCAGTCCCCGGCATCTCCAGTTAAAAGGACCAGGCAAGAGGGGATGAGAAAGACCTTGATCTGAGACCCTGGCTCACTGGGAGAGCCTCTGCTTGGCCAGCGGAAGGTCCCAGGTTCAATCCCCGGCATCTCCAGTGAAAAGGACCAGGCAGGAGGGGATGGGAGAGACCTTGACCTGAGACCCTGGCTCAGTGGCAGAGCCTCTGCTTGGCATGCAGAAGGTCCCCGGTTCAATCCCCGGCATCTCCAGTGAAAAGGACCAGGCAGGAGAGGATGGGAAAGACCTTGACCTGAGACCCTGGCTCAGTTGCAGAGCCTCTGCTTGGCATGCAGAAGGTCCCAGGTTCAATCCCCGGCACCTCCAGTTAAAAAGGACCAGGCAGGAGGGGATGGGAGAGACCTTGACCTGAGACCCTGGCTCAGTGGTAGAGCCTCTGCTTGGCATGCAGAAGGTCCCAGGTTCAATCCCCGGCATCTCCAGTTAAAAAGGACCAGGCAGGAGGGGATGGGAGAGACTTTGACCTGAGACCCTGGCTCAGTGGCAGAGCCTCTGCTTGGCATGCAGAAGGTCCCAGGTTCAATCCCCGGCACCTCCAGTTAAAAAGGACCAGGCAGGAGGGGATGGGAGAGACTTTGACCTGAGACCCTGGCTCAGTGGCAGAGCCTCTGCTTGGCATGCAGAAGGTCCCAGGTTCAGTCCCCGGCATCTCCAGCGAAAAGGACCAGGCATGAGGGGATGGGAAAGACCTTGACCTGAGACCCTGGCTCAGTGGCAGAGCCTCTGCTTGACATGCAGAAGGTCCCAGGTTCAATCCCCGGCACCTCCAGTTAAAAAGGACCAGGCAGGAGGGGATGGGAGAGACCTTGACCTGAGACCCTGGCTCAGTGGTAGAGCCTCTGCTTGGCATGCAGAAGGTCCCAGGTTCAATCCCCGGCATCTCCAGTGAAAAGGACCAGGCAGGAGAGGATGGGAAAGACCTTGACCTGAGACCCTGGCTCAGTGGCAGAGCCTCTGCTTGGCATGCACGAGGTCCCAGGTTCAATCCCCAGCATCTCCAGTTCAAAGAACCAGGCAGGAGGTGATGGGAACGACCTTGACCTGAGACCCTGGCTCAGTGGCAGAGCCTCTGCTTGGCATGCAGGAGGTCCCAGGTTCAGTCCCCGGCATCTCCAGCGAAAAGGACCAGGCAGGAGGTGACGGGGAAGACCTTGACCTGAGACCCTTGAGAGCCGCTGCCAGTCTGAGTAGACAAGACTGATTCAGTATAAGGCAGCTCCATGTGTGTTCACGTGACCCCCTCATCTAGAAAAAGGACGTTTATAACCTATTATATGCACCATTCCCCGTAGCTATTTCATCAGAGTTTCTAATCCCCCCCCCCCCTTTTAGGTCAGTATATTAACCATGATCCACAGAGCTTTTTAGGTGTATGCCATCTGCTCCCCACCTTGTAGTGGAGCCTGCCTTGTCTTCTCCCAAGATAGCCGGATTTTCCTGGCTTGGGAGCAGACTACCAGTCGCCAGGGCTCCTTTCCACACCTGGTTTGCCGCCAAGTACTCGCTGCCTCACGGGCAAAACAGCCAGCATTGTAGGCACCCAGTTGGTACACTCTCTCCTTCCTCTGCCGGTCTACGGAGGCCTCTGTTGCTAATTGTCCATCGGATCTCATCTGTACATTGTATATTGTGCCAAAGGTAATGGGATGACTGCATCGGTTCCATTCTCAGAAACAGCCTGTTTACGGTGCAGCGCAGCACACACTTAGCAGTGAGTCTTCGTCAGGGGTCATTTCATAGAAAAAGAGGTGCCGGGGCTCATTAGCATAACTCATCAGCATAACATATTTGCATATGCCACACCCCCTGACATCACTGGAAGTGTGTCAGAAGGCAACACCCACTGCTCAGGCTCCACTGGAGTGTTTTGGATTGCTCGCTATGGGAGGGGGGAAACGTGCAGATCTGCCCTCACAGAGGAGGGAGAGCTTGTACCTGAATAAGCCTTGGTCTTAAAGGTGCCACTGGACTCTTTTGGGTTGCTAGCTATGGGGGGGGAATGCACAGATCTTTGCAGGAAGGAAGGAAGGAGGGAAAGAAAGAGAAGGAAAGAAGGCGGGAAAGAAAGAGGGAGAGAAGGAAAGGAGGGAAAGAAAGAAAGAACGAGGGAGAGAAGGAAAGAAGGAGGGAAAGAAAGAGGGAGAGAAGGAAAGAAGAAGGGAAAGAAAGAGAAGGAAAAAAGGACAGAAAGAAAGGGAAGGAAAGAAGGAGGGAAAGAAAGAAAGAGGGCAAACGGGGAGGAAAGCTCTCCCACCCCTCGATCAAGCCCCCGCCAGCCCCCCACAGCTCCCTCACCCCATCATCAATGCCCCGCCCTCCCATGGCCCACCCCCCGATTAAGCGCCCGCTGCCACCGTGTACCAGCCAGGTGCCAGGAAAGGTGGGCAGCGGAGCTCTGGAGGCCTTCCCCGGGCTCTGTGCCTTGGCGTGTGTGTTGGGGTGGGGGTGCTCTGCAGCTTACCTGGCTGCTTCTTGCTCCTTGTGACCCGGGGCTGCTGGGAGCAGGGGGTGGGGCTTGTTGCATGTGCCCGCCCCCTGGGCTCTTTACTGCCGGAGCTTCGCTCCTGTGCGCTCCCGCAGGCAATGACCCCTGACGTACCAGCGGACAGGCGCTGTACTGGCTCATAACCACGTAGGCACAGCATGCTTATGAACTTAGCTACAGAGGTCCGTAACAGAATCTCTTAACTGGGTACCTCTTCTGGTCTCCCGCTCTTCAGGTTCGAGAAGATGGCTGAAGACTGCAGAAAGAACATGGAGACCCTGAAGCAAGCCCACGCCAAGGGGTTCCCGCTGCCCAGATATCATTATGAGCAGCGGACTTTCAGCGTGATCAAGTGCGTGAGCTGTTGACTTCGGCGGTTTGCCCCCTGTTGAATATCAGCGGCTTTCTGCTTGGTCTGTTCTAGACCGGTTCTTAAGCCTTTCCCGTGGCCTGTGGCTTCTGGGAGTCTCGTTAAAGTGCAAAAGGGAACCCAGCCAAGGTTTCTTAAAGGATTCGAGCTGGTTTCGAGCCTCACCTTTTCCTCAGGGTAGTGTTTCTTGTACAAACACAGACCTGTCCGGGCATGTAAACTAAGAACAGAACATAAGAGAAGCCAGTGTCGGCTCAGGCCAGTGGCCCATCCAGTCCAACACTCTGTGTCACACAGTGGCCAGAAATACCAGGTGCCCTCAGGAGGTCCAGCAGTGGGGCCAGGACACCAGAAGCCCTCCCACTGTTGCCCCCCCCAAGCACCAAGAAGACAGAGCATCCCTTGCCCCAGACATAAGAACATAGGAGAAGCCAATGTTGGATCAGGCCAATGGCCCATCCAGGCCAACACTCTGTGTCACACAGTGGCCAGAAATACCAGGTGCCCTCAGGAGGTCCAGCAGTGGGGCCAGGACACCAGAAGCCCTCCCACTGTTGCCCCCCCCAAGCACCAAGAAGACAGAGCATCCCTTGCCCCAGACATAAGAACATAGGAGAAGCCAATGTTGGATCAGGCCAATGGCCCATCCAGGCCAACACTCTGTGTCACACGGTGGCCAGAAATACCAGGTGCCCTCAGGAGGTCCAGCAGTGGGGCCAGGACACTAGAAGCCCTCCCACTGTTGCCCCCCCCCAAGCACCAAGAATACCGAGCATCCCTTGCCCCAGCCTGAGAGTTCCTCTCTATACCTTGTGGCTAATAACCACTGATGGACCTCTGATCCATACATACATCCAATTCCCTTTTGAAGCCATCCATGCCTGTAGCGGCCGCCACCTTCTGTGGCAGTGAGTTCCACGTGTTAATCACTCTTTGGGTGACGAAGGACTTCCTTTTATCTGCTCTAACCCGACTGCTCAGCAATTTCATGGAGCGCCCACAAGTTCTTGTCTTGTGAGAAAGGGAGAAAAGGACGTCTTTCTCTGCCTGCTCTATCCCATGCATAACCCTGGCGATCAGTGGTGTGACAGAGGTCGCAGCCAGATCGCCCTCACTTCCCCCCCCACGCATAACCTTCTAAACCTCGATCACGCCACCTCTCAGCCGTCATTTCTCCAAGCTAAAGAGCCCCAAGCTCTTTAACCTTTCTTCAGAAGGAAAGTGTTCCAACCCTTTTATCAAACTCTTAAAACGGCTTTTTCAAAAAAGCAGCGTGGATAGGTGGAGGGGATTCCCCAGTAGGTGAAAGAGGATCCGTTTAGTGAGAACCAGTGTTCCCTCTAAGCTGAGTTAGCGTGAGTTAGCTCACCGTTTTTAGCCTCCGGCTCACACATTCTTGTCTTCGCTCAGGGAGGAGGGCTCCAGAGCAAACTAAGTTATGCAGTAGCCAAATCGCTCGCTCACAACTTTAATGCCAGTAGCTCACAAAGTAGGATTTTTGCTCACAGGACTCCACAGCTTAGAGGGAACATTGGCTGAGAACCCTTGTTCCTCTGCTGGCGCAGGACAATCAAAGGCCAAGGGTGACCAAACTGGTGGCCCATAGGCCAAATCGGGCACCCCATCCACTCTACCAAATTTTAATCAAGTTGTTGTAAAAAAAGTTTTGCCTTTGTGCAGGGTTTGTTGGGTGGAGCTGGCCGCCCTCTACTGGAGGCGGGGTGCTGGTGCAGATGGATTTTTAATCCGATCCAACAGACTCGTTGTATTCTACAAAGCGGGGTGGACAGTGTAATTCAAGCCTTTCAACGTCATTTGGTGTTTGGTTGAAAAGAACGCATTCTAGACGTCGGCTGAATTGGGTGTGGGGTTTTTTTTTTTTGTTCCTTTCAGGATCTTTCCAGAACTGAACAGCAATGATATGGTTCTTTCTGTAGTGAAAGCAATCAACCTGCCAGCGCCTCCCGGTAAAACAGCCAGTCGTTCCTGTTTTGGGGGGAGGTGGGGGGAAGGAGGGAACCCTCTTGTTGCCATGACAACAGATGGCTGGAAAGGGGAGGGCTGGGGGGTCAGAATTGGGTGGTGGGTGGTTCCTGAGATGGGGGGAGGTATCTGATTGGCACAATTTGGAGTGAGATACTAGAGGGAAATTTATTCCGATCACGCAAGACAGTTCGTACGTTCGCTCCAAAAATGAAGGATTTCCCCCCAAAGGAAACGGAAAAGAAAAAGAAGAAGAGATTGGATTTATACCCCGCCCTTCACTACCCAAAGGAGCGGCTTACAAACTCCTTTCCCTCCCCCCTCCCCACAACAGACACCCTGTGAGTTAGGTGGGGCTGAGAGAGCTCTGACAGACACTGCTCTTTTTCAAGAACAGCTCTGCCAGAACTATGGCTTGCCCAAGGTCATCCAGCAGGTGCAAGCGGAGGAGTGGGGAATCAAACCCAGTTCTCCCAGGGAATCAAACCCAGTCCGCGCAGTTAGCCACTACACCAAAAGTTTAATCGCTGGTACAAAACCAAGTCCCTCCCTTAACATCTGCTTTTCAGTGAATCCCACCCCCTCTGTTACCTTCACTTCTCTCTTGAGCGGGGTGGGGTGGGGTATGTGCTATATACACAAACATGTACATGTATCGCTCTTCCTTTCCTTCCATCATAGAATCATAGAGCTGGAAGGGGTCTCCAGGGTCATCTAGTCCAACCCCCTGCACAAGGCAGGAAATTCACAAATACCTCCCCCCACACACACCCGCAGTGACCCCTCTTCCACGCCCAGAAGATGACAAAAAAAACCCTCCAGGATTGCTTCCTGACCTTAACGTGGCAATCAGCATTTTCCTGGGTGTGTAAAAAAGGCCCACAAGAACTGAGCACTGAGGCAAACCTTCCTGCCCTCCCTCTCACAATCGGCCTCAGTTCGCAGAATCCGCATTGCTGTCATACGGCCATCTAGCCTCTTTTTGAAAACCTCCAAGGGAGGAGAGCCCACCAGTTCCCGAGGAAGCCCTGTTCCACTGAGGAACCACTCTGTCATCTCGCTGACCAAGTAAATTCTGGTATCTCCAAACACTATGTTGCTGTCTTGGCTTACGTATTTCACTCTTCTTTTTCAGGCGTGGCTCCTAACGATATTGACGCTTTTGTGCGCTTTGAGTTCCCTTACCCCAACGCGGTGAGTTTGGGTAACTTCAAACACTGCTCTCTTCCCCCCCCCCTTCCAAGCAGCCAATCGGAATTTCCCTGCTTCTGTGTATGCAACGAAATAGACCTGTTTCGTATCAGGCACGATAGAAGGTACAGGAAAGTATAACACGGGGGGAGGGGGCTGTGAGACCCTCCAAGCGGCAGTTGGGAGGTCCGGTTCTAGCACCTACTGTATTATTGTTAATTGGTTTTAGCATTGTTTTAAATGTTCTAATTGTTTTACTGTAAACAGGGCTATTTTGGGGCGGAACGCACAGGAACGGCGTTCCGGCTGGCTTCAGAGTTGGCCACGCCCACTACAGCCAAAACCTCTGCATGCGTGGCTACAGAGGGAAGGCCTGGGGAGCAACACCCTCCCCCCCCCCCGGTGACTCCAAGGTGGGCGGGCGGGGGGGGGCCCTGGAAGGATCGTGGAAGCATTTAAATGCCTCCCCGTACCTTCCCTGGCCTGTCCAAGGGCCGGCTTGCCTGGTCTCCCCGCAGCCGTGGGGCGCCCGGGCAAGCCAAGGGAAGGCATGGGGGTGTGGCCTAATAAGCTGTGCTGTCAGGGGTGTGGCCTAATAGGCTAATGAGTTTCTGCTGTTGGGTGTGGCCTATTGTGCTAATGAGTTCCTGCTGGGCCCCTTTCTACCAAAAAAGCCCTGACTGTAAATATACGCTGATTTTATGTAAGCCGCCCCGAGCCGGGAGGGCGGGGTAGAAATTTGGGAAACAAATAAAATAAATAAACTCTCTCTCTCGCACTGTCCTCGCAGGAGGAAGCGCAGAAGGACAAGACCAACGTGGTCAAAAATTCCAACTCCCCCGGTAAGTACCCGGGCACGGCCTGTCGGCCACATCAGGAAGAAGAGCGTGAGCTCGCTGTGGACCCTCCTTCCGCAGAAATCCCACCCCTGGAAGAGAGGAAGAGCTGCAGTCCAGACGTCTGATATAATGCTGCGCAGCACCCAGCTATATCGGTGGCTCTTGTCTGGACGGCCCAAGCGAGCGAGATCCTGTCCGAGCTCAGAAGCTAAGCAGGGTCGGTCCTAGGGGGTGTAAGGGGACCACCAGTAGAGTCCAGGGCAATGTTCCCTCTAAGCTATGGAGCCCTGTGAGCAAAAAATCTACTTTGTAAGCTACCAGCATTAAAGTTATGAGCAGGTGAGTTGTCTCCTGCATAAATTAGTTTGCTCTGAAGCCATCCTCCCTGAGCTAAGACACAAATGTGTGAGCCAGCAGCTAAAAAACTGTGAGCTAGCTCACACTAACTCAGCTTAGAGGGAACACTGGTCCAGGGTTTCTCCGCAGAGGCAGGCAGTGGCAAACCACACCCCTGCCTTGATCTCGCCCTGATCTGGACAGCCCAGGCTCACCTGGTCTCATCAGATCGGGAAGGGAACTGAAAACAAACCAGCCAGCTATCCTCATGCCCCCGTATAAATCGATGGTGCGACCTCGTCTGGAGTCCTGTGCACAGTTCTGGTCGCCACGCCTCAAAAAGGATATTGTAGCATTGGGGGAAGTGCCGAAAACGGCAACTCGAACGGTCAAAGGGTTGGGACACTTTCCCTACGAAGAAAGGTTAAAGCGCCCGGGGCTCTTTAGCTCGGAGAAACGACGGCCGAGGGGTGACACGATCGAGGTTTACAAGATTACGTGTGGGGTAGAGGAGGTCGGGAAAGACGTCCTTTTCTCTCTTTCTCACAAGAGAAGAACTCCTTGTGGGCACTCCGTGAAATTGCTGAGCGGTCGTCTTAGAATGGATAAAAGGAAGCCCTTCTTCACCCAAGGAGTGATTGACATGTGGAATTCACTGCCACAGGAGGTGGCGGCGGCGGCTACAAGCAGGGACGGCTTCAAGGGGGAAGTGGCCAAAAATACCAGGTGCCCTCAGGAGGTCCAGCAGTGGGGGCCAGAACTCCACAAGCCCTCTCACTGTTGCCCCCCCCCCCAAGCACCAAGAATACAGAGCATCCCTTGCCCCAGACATAAGAACATAAGAGAAGCCAATGTTGGATCAGGCCAATGGCCAAGCCAGGCAAACACTCTGTGTCACACAGTGGTCAAAAAATACCAGTTGCCCGCAGGAGGTCCAGCAGTGGGGCCAGAACTCCACAAGCCCTCCCACTGTCCCCCCACCCCCAAGCACCAAGAATACAGAGCATCCCTGGCCCCAGACCGAGAGTTCCTATCTATACCTTGTGGCTAATAGCCACTGAGGGACCTCTGCTCCGTATGCTTATCCGATTCCCTCCATAGCTTAGAGGGAGCGTGGGCCCTGACTGGGCATAAAGGGTTGCGATGGGCCCCAGGGCAACCTGGCAGCACGGCCGGTGTTGCAGGAAAGCACTGTGAGCGTAAAAGGTGGTGAGGAACCTGGTGGAACTCTCTGGCAGATAACATCAGGGCCCTGCGGGATCTTATGCAAGTCCGCAGGACCCGTAAGGCAGAGGTGTTCCGCCAGGCGTTCGGTTGAGGGCAGCAACAGTTAAACATCATGGCTGGCACCCTACTCGGACCCCCTACTCCTTATAGAGCTCACTCCCCCCACCCTGAATGTGTGAAGCACCCACAGACCAAACATGGGAGGGAGATATGGGGGATACGTTTCTGGGGAATTGTGTATGCGAAAGAGATCTTGGGGTAAGAGTGGACTGTAAACTGAATATGAGCAGTCAAGTGTGACGCAGTGACAAAAAAGGCAAATCCCAGTCTTGGGCTGTATCAAAAGGGCCATAGCATCGAAATCGCAGGAGGTTGTCGCCCCTCTGTATACTGCCTTGGTCAGGCCGCACCTGGAGTCCTGTGTGCCGTTCTGGAGGCCTCCCTTCAAAAAGGAGGTGGGCAAAATCGAGAGGGTGCAAAAGAGAGCGACGAGGATGAGCAGGGGTCTGGAGGCCGAGCCCTACGAGGAAAGGCTGAGGGCCCTGGGAATGTTTCGTTTGGAGAAGAGGAGACTGAGGAGGGACAGGACTGCTCTCTTTAAATCTTTGAAAGGCTGTCATTTGGAGGAGGGCCAGGAGCTGTTTCAGTTGGCGGAGAGGATAGGACCCGAAGCAATGGGTTTAAGTTCCATCCAGAAAGGTATCGGCTGGATATTAGGAAAACCTTTTTCACAGTCAGAGTGGTTCAAAGGTGGAATCAGCTGCCTAGAGAGGTGGTGAGCTCCCCTTCACTGACAGCTTTCAAGAAGAGGCTGGGCGGATATTTGGCAGGGGTGCTCTAGGCTGGTCCTGCACTGGGCAGGGGGTTGGACTAGGTGACCTCTACAGCCCCTTCCAACTCTACGATTCTGTGAGCTACAACATTTTCACCATTTGTTTTAATTGCTGTATGTTGTTGGGCTTGGTTTTATGCTTATGCTTTTGGAGCTCTGTACCTCGCCTTGTGGCACTGCGGTGGCTCAAGTGGTGAAGACGCTGAACTGCAGGCTGTGGAAGGTCAATAGTTCAGCAGTTTGAGACCCGAATGTGCCACATGACGGAGTGAGCTCCCGTCTCTAGTTCCAGCTCCTGCCAACCTAGCAGTTCAAAAGCAAGGAATTGCAAGTAGATAAATAGGTACCACTTTGGTGGGAAGGTAACAGCGTTTCATGTGCCTCGGTGTTTAGTCATAAGAACATAAGAGACACCAATGTTGGATCAGGCCAAAGGCCCATCCAGTCCAACACTCTGTGTCACACAGTGGCCAGAAATACCAGGTGCCCTCAGGAGGTCCACCAGTGGGGCCAGGACATTAGAAGCCCTCCCACTGTTGACCCCCCCCCCAGCACCAAGAAGACAGAGCATCACTTGCCCCAGAGCCCCTATCTATACCTTGTGGCTAAGAGCCACTGATGGACCTCTGCTCCATATGCTTATCTAATTCCCTTTTGAAGCCGTCCATGCTTGTAGCCGCCGCCACTTCCTATGGCAGTGAATTCCAAGTGTTAATCACTCTTTGGGTGAAGAAGGACTTCCTTTTATCCGTTCTAATCCGTTCTAACTCGACCGCTCAGCAATTTCATGGAGCCGGCCACATGACCATGGAAACGTCTTCGGACAGCGCTGGGTCTTCGGCTTTGAAACAGAGATGAGCACCGCAACCCTAGCGTCGGACTCGACTGGCTTTCAAGCAAAGGAACCTTTACCTTTACCTTACCTCGCCTTGAGCCCCACGGCTGTGGGGACGGGCGATTAACCAATGGAATCAAATAAATAAGTAATCTACGGAAAGAGAGGCCTTGAAGCAAGGTGGGCTGTACTCCGCCCACCACTCTGGGGGCTCGGCTGTGGTTCCTCCAGCTCTCGCTCGGCTCACCTTCTGGCTTCTTGCTTCCCTCCACAAAAAAAGACCGCTAGGAAGCTGGAACACCCACACACACATCGCTAAATATCCATTGGCAACACTATTGCAGTATATTTAGCAGCTATTACATATGTATATAGTGCACAAAAGGTCCAAAAGCAGGGTGCGTAGGAGGTCCAAAACCAGTTAACGATGTTCTCCGGAATGACGTATCGTTCCGTGGGGACTTCTTCTGAACGGGGCCATACAAACTCATCATTGGAAGGCTGGAATGCATCCGTCTGGCTTGCCCGTTCTGAATATACTGTGTATAAACATAACCACCTCTGAAATGTCCTTGAAGAAGCTGCTGCTAAATTAATGCATCCAACGATGAGTTTGACAGCAGCACCTGTGAAAGGGATCTGGGTGTTCTGGTTGATCACAAGCAAAACATGAGCCTGCAGTGCGATGTGACTGCGAAGAAAGCTAGTGCAATCTTGGTATACATTAACAAAAGCATCGTGTCCAGATCACGGGAGGTGGTCGTTCCGCTCTGTTCTGCTATGGTCAGGCCTCACCTGGAGTCCTGTGTCCAGTTTTGGGCACCACACTTGAGGAAGGATGTCAACAAGCTCGAGCATGTCCAGAAGAGGGCAACCAGGATGGTGAGAGGGTTGGAATCCAAGTCTTACGAGGAAAGGCTGAAAGAGTTGGGCCTGTTTAGCCTTGGAAAGAGAAGGCTTAGAGGGGACACGATTGCAGTCTTCAAGTATTTGAAGGGCTGTCATGTAGAAGATGGAGCAGATCTATTCTCTCTTGCTCTGGATTGGAAGACTAGATCTAACAGGTGGGAATTACAAGGGAGTCGTTACCAGCTAAATATCAGGAGAAACTTCCTAACTGTCAGAGTGGTTGAGCGGTGGAACAGTCTGCCTCGGGAGGCGGTGGGTGCTCCTTCTCTTGACGTTTTCAAGCGGAGGCTGGACGACCATCTTTCGGGTATGTTGTAGGGCTCTCTTTCGGCTATGCTCCTGCAGAGTGCTGGGGGTCGGACTAGATGACCTTCAAGGTCCCTTCCGACTCTAACATTCTATGATTCTATGATAAATATACTGCAATAGTGTTGCCAATGGATATTTAGCAGGTTTTTCCCCCAGCTTCCTATTGGTCTTTTTTGGTGTATTCAAGCTGCCACCCTCTGTGTATATATCTATTGTCGTCTCCCTCCAACAGAATTCCAAGAGCAGTTCAAGCTGTTTATCAACCGGGGGCACCGCGGCCTCAAGAGAGCCCTGCAGACCAAAGGCATCAAGTTTGAAGTGGTCCATAAAGGGTGAGTGGAAACTGCGCTCTCTGGAGCCGGTTGAGCGGGTTTGAATGTCACAGGCAGGAACTGGGGCGGGGTGGAGGGGCTTTTCTCTCTCTGACACTTCTCTCCGGTCACGACCAACGCTCCCTCGAAGCGGTGGAGTCCTGTGAGCAAAAATTCTACTTTCTGAGCTGCCAGCATGAAAGTTGTGAGCCAGCGGTTTGGCTCCCGCATCAATTAGCTTGCTCTGCAACGTTCCCTCTAAACTGAGTGAGTGTGAGCTAGCTCACAGTTTTTTAGCCTCTGGCTCACACATTTTTGTCTCCACTCAGGAAGGAGGACTCCAGAGCAAACTAATTGATGCAGGAGCCAATTCGTTCGCTCACAACTTTAATGCCCCGAACTCACCAAGTAGGATTTTTGCTCACAAGGCTCCACAGCTTAGAGGGAGCATTGCTCTGGAGCCCTCCTTCCTGAGCCGAGATGGAAATGTGTGAGCCGGAGGCTAAAAAACTGCGAGCTAGCTCACACCAACTCAGCTTAGAGGGAACCAGGGGTCATTTCCTGCGGGAGCACACAGGAGCGGAGCTCCGGCAGTAAGGAGCCCAGGGGGCGGGCACATGCAACAAGCCCCGCCCCCTGCTCCCAGCAGCCCCCAGTCAGGCCACGAGTCGCAAGAAGCAGCCAGGTAAATTGCAGAGCCCCCCCCCCCCGCCGCCCACCTTCAGGTACAAGCTCTCCCTTGTTCGGTCCTGTCTCGCACTTTCCCCCCCCCCCAATAGCTAGCAATCCAAAACAGTCCAGTGGAGCCTGAGTGGTGGGTGTTGCCTTCTGACACACTTCCAGTGATGTCAGGGGGTGTGTTATATGCAAATGAGTTATGCTAATGAGCTCCTGCACCTCTTTTTCTACAAAACGACCCCTGGAGGAAACTCTGGTCACAACCCCATATTTGAATATTGGCTGACAAAGTCATCCGTGTATTCTGCTGTTCAGCTCGGATTCCACATCAGTCATAGTTCTTCACAGCCGGTAACTGACTGAAGGCGAGAGTAATGAGGACTTTTTATGCGGAAACCCGAGCAAAACGTCTGGCCTAGCCAGACCCGAGGCCAACTGGTGAGGTCCACAGGTCTCTGTGGGCAGCTGAAGCATAGCCCGCATAGAAAATGGACCCCTCCCCAAAGGAGAGAATTCTGTCTGCAGGGCCGGAACTCTGAAACCGAAGGGGGCGAGCAGAACCGAATGCGCTCCCAGAGGAGATCAGGGTCCCGCAGAGCCGATCACAGTTCCGCAGGGCCTGTAAAACGGGGCTTGTGGAGCCACCGCCACCTTCCAACAGCTAGGATAAGAAGCCCCTGCTGCCCCTGGAATTTATATTATCTGCTTGTACCAGCCATCAGAAAGGCACCTGAAAGACATTTATTTATTTATTTATTTATTTATTTATTTATTAAATCTCTACCCAGCCCTCCCGCCGAAGTGGCTCAGGGCAGCTTACAAACAATTTAAAACCAACTTACAGTTTAAAACCAGCAAATACAAAAATATAAAAATGTGATTCATACAATTTCAATAGATACAGTAAAGCAAAGTAAATAAATACAGCGGCATCCTGTAATAAAGTGCCAGCGCGGCCCCACCGGAGCAGTCCGTTCTTATTGGAACGCCTGGCGAAACAGCTCCGTTTTCACGGCTCTACGGAACTGCTGGAGGTCCCGTAGAGCTCTGATCTCGTTGGGTAGCTCGCTCCACAGGGTTGGCGCCGCCAGCGAGAATGCCCTGGTTCTAGTTACCGCCAACCTGGCGTCCTTAGGCCCAGGGGGCGCCAGATGGTTTTACATTCCCGATCGCAGTGCTCTCGGGGGAACGTGTGGGGAAAGGCGGTCCCTCAGGTAGGCAGGCCCCTGACCATTTAGGGCTTTAAAGGTCAACACCAGCACCTTGAAGTGAATCTGGAGCGCTATTGGCAGCCAGTGCAACGACTTCAGCACAGGCTGGATGTGCTCCTACCTGGGGAGACCCATCAGCAGCTACAGCAGACCTGGGAGCCAGCCATGGGGGTAGGGTTGCCAAATCTAATTTACTCACCGGTGGGGGAGCATCTTCTCGCTCCGGGAGCTGGCTGGGGATGTGCGCGCGCGCAAAGTGCGCACGCGCCGCCGGAACGTCACCGGAAGTGACGCAAAACGTAGCACGTTGGGGGCGTGGCCAAGATCGTCCAACGATCTGGGCCACGCCCCCAACGTGCCCTACATCATGCATCACCTCTGGTGATGCGGCTTCGGGGGGCGGGTTTCCCCCCGGGGCCGATTTCCGTCGCATCGGAAATCGGGCCCCCCCAGCCCCATTTGGCAACCCCACATGGGGGGGGAGGGAGAGAGCTGACGGTAGCCATCACGAACTCCATAACAGCACACTGGCACTCATCGTGGAATTGTAATCTGTTTTATTTTATTTTTGTAATGTTCTATTGTACTGTTTACATGTTTTGTGCCGATTTTGTATAAGCCACCCTGAGCCGGCCCTGGCTGGGAGGGCGGGGTTCAAATTTGAATGAATGAATGAATGAATAAAAACAAACCTGGGGCTGTGAACGCTGCTGCCCTTTCTCTCCAGAGGGCTCTTCAAGACCGACCGCACGTTGGGAACGGCGCAGCTGAAGCTGGAAGCACTGGAGACAGCTTGTGAGCTCCGGGAGTTCCTGGAGGTGAGGGCCATGTGCAGCCATACCCATGTGCAGCGTCCCGCCGCTACGCCACAGAGGTCAGGCCACCCCCGGAGTCCCGTGCGCCGTTCCGGAGGCCTCGCTTCAAAAAGGATGTGGGCAGAACGGAGCGGGCGCAGAGGAGAGCGACCAGGATGACTGGGGGCCTGGAGGCCGAGCCCAACAAGGAAAGGCTGAGGGACTTCTTGGGAAGGTTCAGTCTGGCGAAGAGGGGGTGGAGTGGGGGGGAACACGTGATGTGATTGGAAAGGCTCTCACTTAAGAAGAGGGCAGGGAGGATAGGACTCACCATCAAGGGTTGAAATTAAGGGCAGGAAGGGACCGGCTGGATCTTAGGAAAAGCTTTTTGGCAGTCCAGAGTCATGCCACAGTGAAATAGTCAGGCCTCGCCTGGAGTCCTGTGTCCAGTTTTGGGCGCCACATTTTAGGAAGGATGTTGACAAGCTCGAGCGTGTCCAGAAGAGGGCAACCAGGAGGGTGAGAGGGTTGGAATCCAAGTCTTACGAGGAAAGGCTGAAAGAGTCGGGTATGTTTAGCTTGGGAAAGAGAAGTCTTAGAGGGGACACGATTGCAGTCTTCAAATATCTGAAGGGTTGCCGTGTAGAAGATGGAGCAGATCTATTCCTACACTCAGGTATAAAAAATCAAAGGCACAGATGTAGAATGGGAGGGACTTGGCTTGACCGCAGCACATGTGAAAGGGATCTGGGTGTTCTGGTTGATCACAAGCTAAACATGAGCCTGCAGTGCGATGTGACTGCAAAGAAAGCTAATGCAATCTTGTTATACATTAACAAAAGCATTGTGTCCAGATCATGGGAGGTGGTAGTTCCGCTCTGTTCTGCTATGGTCAGGCCTCACCTGGAGTCCTGTGTCCAGTTTTGGGCGCCACATTTGAGGAAGGATGCTGACAAGCTCGAGCGTGTCCAGAAGAGGGCAACCACGAGGGTGAGAGGGTTGGAATCCAAGTCTTACGAGGGAAGGCTGAAAGAGCTGGGTATGTTTAGCCTGGGAAAGAGAAGGCTTAGAGGGGACAGGATTGCAGTCTTCAAGTATCTGAAGGGCTGTCACGTAGAAGATGGAGCAGATCTATTCTCTCTTGCTCCGGATTGCAAGACTAGATCTAATGGGTGGGAATTACAAGGGAGTCGATACCGGCTAAATATCAGGAGAAACTTGCTTAACGTAAGAGCCAAATTGCGGCTTGGGAGCCACATGTGGCTCTTTCAGACATGTTGTGCGGCTCCCGGCAGGGCGGCTGGGGAAGCGAAGGGGAGGCGTGCCTCCCTGATCGATCGGTCTTCCTCTCCCCAGCCAGTGTTCCCCTCCCTGCGTAGGCTTGAGGCGGGGGGGGGGGGAGCAGAGAAAGAAAGCAACTTTAAATGCGTTCTCAAAGGCCCCCCCACACACACAAATATCATCAAATAAGTAAATCTAATTTTCAACATCTGTTTTTGACCCCTTTTTAATTTTTGGCAGTCCCATTGAATGTTAATAACAAGCAAATCCGCATGTTTCCCAATAAAAACTCGTGTGATATCTGCTCCTGTCTTGCGGCTCACAAACATCTGACGTTTATTCTGTGTGTGGCTCTTACGTGAAGCAAGTCTGGCCACCCCTGGCCTAGAGCCTGACGGCGCAGACTGATTTTTCTCACCTGGTCTCGCCACGTTTGCAGAGCCCTTTCTCCCCCTCCCCGTCTCATTCCCCTCTCCCCTCCTCAGCTCCTGGACGGCCGGCGGCCGACGGGAGGCAAGCTAGAAGTCATCGTCCGCCTGAGAGAACCGCTGAGCTCCCAGCAGCTGGAGACGACAACCGAGAAGTGGCTGGTCATCGATCCCCTGACGATGCCCCCGGTAAGAGGTTTTTGTGCAATCCGGGGACTTTTTCCTGGAAAGCAGAGAGGCCTGGGACAAGATCCCGGTGGGTAAGCCCCGCCGTCAGCTGTCTCGGCATGGCTTTGCCATGGAGCGGCGGTCTCTCCCCGGGGCTCTGTGGTCTCGGGCCTGGCCAGAGTGCTCGCCTTTGGAAATCTGCGGCCTTCTGCAAAACGTCAGTCTGCCGCCGCGTTTCTAAGGCTCCGTTGTCCTGCGAAAGGGATCCCAGCTGTGTCGGCGGAAGTCAGGTTGACGTTGGTTTTCTTCAGAAACGGATGTGGACAGAAAGCTTTGGCTGAGAATGTGTCCCTCTTGGCTGCCTGGTCCAGGTCCTCCCATGATTAGAGATGTGAAATTTCCGGAAATTTTGAAGCTCAGGAAAAAAACCCGTATTTTTCCCCAGGGAAAAATGGAAATTTTTGGAAAAATTGGGGAAAAAATGCTACATTAGCACTTCTTTTTTCTTTTCCAGATTGAAAGTCATTCTGTTACTTTAGGAACATAAAATATGACTATGGACATTTTTACTTGGCATGAAATTATCACAACTAGCATATTAAAGATATAGTGTATCCAAACAATTGTTACAAACAGAATACCCACCCACATGCAAAAACAAAACGGAAACCTTTTTCTTTTCTTGTGACAATGGCACCTCCTAAAGGAAGAAATGCATCTTCTTCTTGTATTGGAGAGTTCAGTTGGTAACCTAGGACTTGCTTGTCCTCCGTGCACAGAAATTAGATCAGTCTGATACCATATGTATTTTTTAGAAATGATTTGGAAAATATTTGAACACCTTGTCCTAAAATATTTTATTCATCATGTTAAAATAAAATGTTCTATAATCAATTTTTTTTCTTTTCTTTTTTCAATGTTTCCAATTTTTCATAAAAAAACAAAAAAGTCTTCAGGAAAAAAACGGGAGGGTCTCAGGCTGAGGTCTTTCCCATCACCTCCTGCCTGGTCCTTTTTAACTGGAGATGCCGGTGATTGAACCTGGGACCTTCTGCATGCGAAGCAGAGGCTCTGCCAATGAGCCAGGGTCTCAGGTCAAGGTCTTTCCCATCACCTCCTGCCTGGCCGTTTCAACTGGAGATGCCGGGGATTGAACCTGGGACCTTCTGCATGCCAAGCAGAAGCTCTGCCCATGAGCCAGGGTCTCAGGTCAAGGTCTTTCCCATCAACTCCTGCCTGGGCCTTCTAACTGGAGAGGCCGGGGATTGAACCTGGGACCTTCTGCCTGCCAAGCAGAGGCTCTGCCACTGAGCCATGGCCCTGGCTTGCCCGCCAGCTTCTGTGAATTATTTCCTCTCTTTCTGGAAACTGGGCCGACGAAATCATTGTGAGATCTGCGTGAGCGTGACTGAAAGCTGCTCTGGCAGAGGTACCGGGCCGCAATTAACGGGCTCTGCTTTCCCCACGCAGGTCGCCGTTCCCAAACCCAAGCAGGTTGCGGTTCCCAAACCCAAGCCAGCGGTGACTCCCACGAAGGATGCGGGCGGCAGGTAGGTCTCTTCCGGGGGTCTGGAGGAGCTCTTCCGGGTCCCGGGGCAGAAGGGAGCAGCGGGGCGGCAGAGCATCCTTCATTCTTGGCGTATTGGCCCTCTTTGCTGATTCCCTCTCGCGTTCTTTCTGTCTTCACACTTTGGGTCACTGTTGTGGAACAAAGTCCGGGGATACCAGGTCTGGGCTTTGTTTCCGCCTCTGGACAAGGCACCGCCCTTGGCGGCTGGGGGTGTGAATAGCCCAGGCAGGGAGCCGCTGGCAGAAGTGTGAAAAATAGTTCCTTACAGGGTAGTTGTGAATCGGGACTCCTGCCACTGAGAGGCCTCCTTTCAAAGAGTCCTCAGCGCCTACGTGTAGCAGGCAGGACCTGTAGAAACTGAAGCCTGTGCAGATCTCAGGCTCGGTTCCTTTTAGTGCCGCTCTGCAGCCAGCCCCGGAGCTAAGGAGTTTTTGGGGCGGGGGGCACCAGCCAATCAAAGTTAATTACATTAACTTTAATTTAGTTGCTGGGACTCCTAAGGCAGCCCTGGCTGCGACCGAGGGGGGAGGAGAGCACCGCCACCAACAGCAGGGACAGCCCTGGCACTGCGGACGAGCCCTCGGGTCTTGCGGGGGCGCTCTCTCGCTCTCTCTCGGCGACTGGCCACCAGCAAGCGCCCTGCCGGTCCCCAGACCTCCACCCGGCTCCTTGCCGGCCGCTGCGGCACGACCCGGGCTCGAGGAGGGCGTCCGCCAAGCCAGGGGGCAGTTCCACCCCGGGCGCAAAGGGGGAGCAGCCGGCTGAAGAAGGCGACAAGCCGGGGAGTCCCCGGTGGGCACACGAGGCGAGACCAGGCTCAACCGCCCAGCCACCCCTCACCCGCCCACAGACCTGGCTGTGGATCTTTGCGGAGGCGGCGGCGGCCCGGGCGTTCAGAGCAATTTGTCTCTATTGGGAAAAAAGAGAGCGCTAACTTATTGGCCAGCGAGAGGCCGGTGCTGGCTGCTCTTTAACTTTCAATAAGATCTATCTGCAAAGACCTTGGCCGATCGTCTCTTTTGCGAGAGAAGGGGCGTGCATGCAGGCAGGAGGCGCACACCACACACACAAAAGGCACGGGGGGCGGAGGCGAGGCGTGCGTGCGAGCGCACCGTCAAGAGGAGCCCCGAGTGCTGTCCGGGAGTCATTCCACCTCGGAAGGAGGAGAGGAGGAGCCGCCAGACTGTAGTGGCGTCCCACCGCCTCTCGTCCGGCTAGGCGGCGGCAGCAAATCACAGCCCTCCCATGGCGCGCTGCGGCGCACTGCCCTGCTGAGGGAGGGGGGCTCATTAAAATCGTGGGGGGGGGCCCAGGAGCCCCTTGCTAGCTACGAGCCTGTCTGCAGCGCAGCGCATAGAACTGGGAGATAGAAATCTGTCGAAGGGCAAGGACAGGAACTCACTGGCAGAAGCAGGATCTGAACCTGGGTCTCCCAGATTCGAGCCCAATTCTCAGTGCCTCACACTGGGCTTTGAAAGCGTAGACGTTTGAAGGCAGTGAGGTGAAGGACGGGAGAAAGGTGGAAGGTGGGACTGCGTACAGCGTGGGCAGACGTCCGTGCCACCGCCGCCCCCTCCGCCTTTTTTGCTCTGCAGTAGCTGTTGATGGTCTCTTCTGATTCCCTTCCAGAACGTCCATCTGCTCACTGCTGTAGCCCAGCCAGCTCGGGTTGGACTTCCTCCTCTCGGGCCCCGGAGCCTCTCTTGCGCGGGATGTTTCCCTTCTGCCGGCCCTGGACGAGAAGAAACGTAGGGCGACCCGGGAGGGCAGGGGGGAGCGCTGGATGGCTTTATCTGAGCAAAGCTTTCTGTGGGGAAAAAGCAGGAAAGCCAAGTTACTGAAGACCCAAAAGAGAAGGGAGGGGTTGTGGCTCAGTGGCAGAGCCTCTGCCTTGGCATGGAGAAGGTCCCAGGTTCAGTCCCCGGCATCTCCAGTTGAAAGGACCACGCAGGAGGGGATGGGAAAGACCTTGACCTGAGACCCTGGCTCAGTGGCAGAGCCCCTGCTTGGCATGTAGGAGGTCCCAGGCTCAGTCCCCGGCATCTCCAGTTAGAAGGGCCAGGCAGGAGGGGATGGGAAAGACCTTGACCTGAGACCCTGGCTCAGTGGCAGAGCCTCTGCTTGGCATGCAGAAGGTCCCAGGTTCAATCCCCAGCATCTCCAGTTAGAAGGGCCAGGCAGGAGGGGATGGGAAAGACCTTGACCTGAGACCCTGGCTCAGTGGCAGAGCCTCTGCTTGGCATGCAGAAGGTCCCAGGTCCAATCCCCGGCATCTCCAGTTAAAAAAGGACCAGGGAGGGGATGAGAAAGGCCTTGACCCGAGACCCTGGCTCAGTGGCAGAGCCTCTGCTTGTTATGCTACACCAAACTGGGAAGGAGATTGTAAGCCACTCTGAGACTTCTTTGGCTAGTGAATGGCCATGGGTTATAAATCCAGTCTGTTCTCCTCCTCTTCTTTAAACAGCCAAGGAACAAGGGGTGAGCAGGTTGCATGCCAGCAGGGCCAAGCGTGGGATTCCTCTATCCCCCTGGCCCACGGTTGGCCAGCCCACCCCTTCTCGTGAGCGAACAAGCCCACAGCAGGTCCTGACCCTTGTTCCCTCTAAGCTGAGTGAGTGTGAGTTAGCTCACAGTTTTTCTAGCCTCCGGCGCACACATTTTTACCTTAGCTCAGGAAAGATGGGCTACAGAGCAAACTGATTCATGCAGTAGCCCAATTGCTGGCTCACAACTTTAATGCCAATAAGCTCCCAAAGTAGAAGTTTTGCTCACAAGACTCCACAGCTCAGAGGAAGCATGGGTCCTGACTCTGCACACCTGAGGGGCGCTGGGCAGCTATTCATTGAACTTCGAGTCCCCAAAGCGAGCGGACTTTCCTGCTGCTTACCTTTGTGGGCCTTGCGGCAGATTTTTACCCCCTCCTTTCCTCCACCGCACCTAGCTAGGGGGGGAAAAAAAGGCAACCCATTAAACTATCGAAATTTCTTACCGTTTTGAACCTTAATCGTGGAAGCCTGTGGGTGCTTTCTTGGCACTCAGTATTTCGACTGCCTTGCTCCTGATTGGCCTTATTGTATCAGCGCTTAAACAAACCCTCTTTGTTTAATGTCTGAAATGTTTTAAGAGTTTACATCCCTACAGAAAGCCTTTGCTTCGCTCCCAGAATCCTGCTGCTAGCCTTGGTAGGAGCCAGGCCTCCTGAATGCTGTACTTAGAAACAAAGCCTTCTTTGGCCTTGTGAGGTTTACCTGGCCCGGGGGTGTTCCCCTGGGCCGCTTGTCTCCTCTAGAGTCGGCGTGCGTCTCCTCTGCCACCCCTTTTCACATAGAGTGTCTTGTGGCCGACCTCTCCGGAAATCACCATGCTGCATTTTTCCTCTCCCTGCAGCAAACCGGTCTACGCCCTGCACAGCTTCAACGTTCTCACCTTTGACAAGGAGAAGCTGGAGAGAAAGGTGGGTGATTTAAATTGGGGGGGGGGGGAGATGATCCTTATGAACACTGCCCTTGTATGTGGCCCCGCACAGGGTAAAGGTGAAGGTTTCCCCTGCTCGAAATGCCAGTCGAATCCGACGCTAGGGGTGCGGTGCACATCTCCATTTCCAAGCCGAAGAGCCAGCGCCGTCCGAAGACGTCTCCGTGGTCATGTGGCCGGCATGACTAAACGCAAGGGGCACAGAATGCTGTTACCTTCCCACCGAAGCGGTACGGTGGGCTCTTTTTGTAGCAGGAACTCCTTTGCATATTAGGCGACACACCCCTAATGTAGCCAGTCCTCCAAGAGCTGACAGAGCTCTTCTCACAGGGGCCACTGTAAGCTCTTGGAGCATTGGCTACATTGGGGGGGGGGGGGGGTCACCCTAAGTAACAAGGGTTCCCGCCTAAAAGAGCCCTGTTACTTGCCATTTCTTGCTTTCGAACTGCTAGGTTGGCAGGAGCCGGGGCCAGAGACGGGAGCTCACTCCGGCACTCGGGTCTCGGAACTGCTGAACTACTGACCTTCCAGTCTGCAGTTCAGTTACTTAAGCATTGAGCCACCGCGGGCCCCCTCTGCACATTTTGACAGTGTGGGAGGCAACAAAGGAAGGGCGGAAGCAAAGCCTTAAGAAGAGCAACTTCCGGCACAATTCCAGAGCAGATGAGTTTGAGTCTAGTGGCACCTTAGAGACCAACAGGGTAGAAGTTTTCGAGCGTCAAAGCTCCCTTCCTCAGCTATCTCACAAAAGGGCACTTTGATTCTCAAGAGCTCAGACGCCAAAAATCTCGCCAGTCTATCTTAAGACTGTCTTCAGGGGTTTTTGAATGGTTGACATCCTTGACCCAGAGAGAACGGGTTACAGGAAAACAAAGATGGAGCCCAACCGCACCTTTAAGACCAACCAAGTTTTATTCAAGGTATACGCTTTCGTGCACATGCACACTTCCTCAGATAGATGGAAGTGGAAGTTACCAGTCCATACATATTTATTTTTTAATTTGATTTCTATACTGCCCTCCCCCCCAAATGAGGTTCAAGGCGGTTTACAACAGTTTATAAACAGAAACACAAATACACACACACACATACACACACACACACATACATATTCACAGATTGAAATTTAAATACAATAAACCAGCAGTAAACACAACTAATCAGATAGCGTTAGGGGTCATTTCGTAGAAAAAGAGGTGCAGGAGCTCATTAGCATAACTCATTAGCATAACATATTTGCATATGCCACACACCCTGACATCACCAGAAGTGTGTTAGAAGGCAACACTCACCACTTAGGCTCCACTGGACTGTTTTGGAGTGCTAGCTATTGGGGGGGGGGGGAACGTACAGATCTGTCTTCGCAGAGGAGGGAGAGCTTGTACCTCAATAAAACTTGGTCTTAAAGGTGCCACTGGACTGTTTTGGACTGGAGGGAGCTGTGCAGCTTAACTGGCTGCTTCTTGCTCTGACTGAGGGCTGCTGGGAGCAGGGGGTGGGGCTTGTTCCATGTGCCCGCCCCCTGGGCTCTTTACTGCTGGAGCTCTGCTCCTGTGCGTTCCTGCAGGAAATTTTAAGATTATAGGTTATAACTTTGTAGTGTCTGGGTCAAAAAGGATTTTTAACTCCTATCAGAGAAAAAACACCTTTGTTTGGGTGAGAACAAACCTTTGCCGATACGACTCAGGTCAGGTCAAGTAAATATGTGATGCTATTGTACAGACACACCTTTCTTACATTTGACCAATCAGGAGATTTTCATTTAAATGTTTTTTAATTTCTTGTAACCAATTATGCTTTCTGAATATTATTGTCATGATAATGATATGATGATGTCATATCAAGTATTTAACGTCATATATTTCCCGGTTGGGCTCAGAAAGCCGCCAATTTTGGATGGGTCATTTGGCCTAACCGTTTTCTGCGTTTGATTGCAATTAAATACAAGATCTTCCTCCTCATTGTGACTTCAGTCTCCTATTTTTGACTGGACATTCATTTGTATAACACCTTTCGCCCTCGGAGCTGCCGCGTGCGCTCCTGCCCCGGCTCCGGGGTCCTAACGCCCTCCTCCTCCTGTGCTTGGCGGCAGATGATGGCCTGCAGGCAGTCCGGCCAGCGCCTCCCCAACCAGCTGGTGGACCAGCACCAGGAAGTCGCGAGGATGATCCAGTGGCAGAAGTCCCAGCTTCAGCACGGAGGCCCCGCGGTGAGAAAAGGTACGGTCACAGAGAGGAAGGGCCGACCCTAAAGCCCCACGCCAGGAGGGCCCCGTTCCCCGTGATGGGGCAAACGAACGCTTCCCCCCTTCCGTTAGTGCAGACAAGATTGTCCATGGAGGGACTGGTACCCTCCAAGGCCGGGATCCCCCAATCTTTTGAAGCCTGTGGGCTGACTCAGCCACAAAATGGCCGCCGCAGGAGGCAAAGCCAGTCACAAAATGGCCACCGCAGGAGGCAAAGCCAAGTCACAAAACGGCCGCTGCAGGAGGCAAAGCCAGTCACAAAATGGCCACCTCAGGAGGCAAAGCCAGTCACAAAATGGCCACCTCAGGAGGCAAAGCCAAGTCACAAAACGGCCGCCGCAGGAGACAAAGCCAGTCACGAAATGGCTACCGCAGAAGGCAAAGCCAGTCACAAAACGGCCGCCACAGAAGGCAAAGCCAGTCATGAAACGGCTGCCACAAGAGGCAAAGCCAGTCACAAAATGGCCGCCACAGAAGGCAAAGCCTGTCACAAAATGGCTGCCGCCGCTTCCCTTGAGTCACACGAGGACGTTCCTGGCGCTGTGGGGGCAGCTGATGTCAAAAGCCAGGGTTCTGAAAACTTGCACCGCCACTCTGAATCCTTGCTGGGCAAAAGCTGTACCTGGCTTTGCCCACTTTCTAAACGCACTTGGCGGGCCTCAGGAGAGGTGTGAGCAAGGTGGCACAGCGCCCCCAGGCTCCCTGTTATTTACTTACTTGCTTATTTATTTATTTTATTAAACTTATACCCCGCCCTACCCAGCCACAGCCGGCTCCCAGGGAGGATAGAAACAACAATAGGTAATTTAAATAGTTCTAAAACCATAAAACAATTTCAACACTAGAAAGGTGCTAACAGATTGACAACTTAAATTAAATATAAGTTAAATATAAGATGGCGGTCGGCCTTCGTTGTCCCATCCTAGTGATCGACCCAGATCTATGAACCAAATAAAAAAAGGTAAAGGTTCCCTTGCTCGATAGCCAGTCGAGTCCGACTCTAGGGTTGCGGTGCTCATCTCCGTTTCCAAGCCAAAGAGCCAGCGCTGTCCAAAGACGTCTCCGTGGTCATGTGGCCGGCATGACTCAACACCAAGGCGCACGGAACGCTGTTACCTTCCCACCGAAGTGGTACCTATTTATCTACTTGCAATTTCTTGTTTTCGAACTACTAGGTTGGCAGGGCTAAGCTAAACCATATATATGAAAAAGTACAAATATTTATTAAGGTGTACACTTTACAACTGAAGACCAAACGTGTTTATATATATATAGAATTTTCACTTTGATGGAGGGACGCACATTCAGACCTACAAAATCGCTGTTACCAGAATAGGTTGTGGTGGTGATAAGGCTATACCTATGGCCCATCACTAATACCAGGAGTCCAATTATAAGTAGACAAGGAAACAACATCTGGTGTAATTATATGTGTACTAGAATTCTGTAACAGGCCTTTGAATGTGTGTCTAGAATATATAGATAATAGTGACCACTGAGGAAGGCCCTTAGGGGCCAAAACGCATTTGGTCTTCGGTTGTAAAGTTTTTACCCATCATTTGTATGTAGAGTGGGCAAGCTTTTACAGTCTGATTTTAGACAAAGCAATTTTTAATCAGGAAAGTTTTAACACGTGTAGACCTTAATAAATATTTGTACTTTTTCATATATATGGTTTAGCTTAGCCCTATTTGGTTCATAGTCATACCCTGGGTTGAGTTCCCCACCACCACCCCTTTTTTCCAGTTTTTGTCGACCCAGATCTAACCATGTGCGGCCGGCACAGGCTGTTCAGGGAGCAGGGTTCTCCCTCGGGGCGGCTCCTAGTCGAAGGCCTGGCGGAAGAGCTCCGTCTTGCAGGCCCGCAGAACTGCATGAGGTCCCACCGGGCCCCGATCTCCTCTGGGAGCTCATTCCACCAGAGCGGAGCTGCCACCGAGAAAGCCCTGGCCCTGGTACTAACCAGCTTGGCATCTTTTGGTCCGGGAAGGGTCAGTCGATGTGGGGACCCTGATCATCGCAGCGCTGTCTGGGGAACACGTTGGAGACCCCTGCTCTAAGGGCCGGGGGGGGGGGGAGATCAAATTTACACTGTGGCCATCTCCCTGCTGTGTGTCTTCTCCACAGAGTACCTGGCGCAGCTGGAACGGTACCAACAGCTCTACACGGAGGCAGCGCGCCGCCTTGGCACTGAAGGCAAACGGGTACGGTGCCCCTTTTCTCTCCCGTTACCTTGCAGGCAGAGGAGGGGGAGACACGATGAACCCCCCTCAGAGCCTGGCCAGCATAGCTTTTGGGTTCTACCGTCGACTGCCCACTTAAAGAAACGGACGGTTTAGGTCCCGCCTGGTGCAGTTTAGATCTGGCTGCCTCCCCTGACGGGTGTCTGTTCCGTTTCGTTTTAATTTTTCTCCCGTCTCCCAAAAGACGAGCACTCGAGGGCGCCCAGTGAAGCCGATGGGCGGTAGATTCGGGACGGACAAAAGGGAATCGTTCATTTACACAGAGAGTGGTTAAAATTGCCGCCAGAGGATTTAGTGATGGGCACAGGAATAGACAGCCTTAAAGGGGGGGTTGGACAGATTGATGGAGGATAAAGTCTATCAGTGGCTATTAGCCATGGTGGCTATGGGGAACCTCCACGTTCATACGGACTAAACCTCTGAATCTCAGAGCCAGGAGGCAACATCAGGGGAAGGCCTCGGCCTCTCTGCCCTGTTGCTTGCCCTCCAGAGGGACTGGCTGGCCCCTTTGTGAGGCGGGAGGCTGGACTAGAGGGACCCTCCCTGGTCTGATCCAGCAGGGCTCTTCTGGTGTCTCTGCCCTGTTCTTGGCCCTCCAGAGGAACTGGCTGACCACTGTGTGAGGCAGGATGCTGGACTGGATGGACCATCACTGGTCGTTGACCCAGGCGGGCTCTTCTGACATTCTGATGTTCTTTTTTGGCAGGAGGCGGCCAAAGACGCTCTTTACAAACGGAATCTGGTCGAGCGGGAGGTGAGTGTCTCCTCTAGAGCAGGGGGCTGCTGCTGTGCCGTTCCCACCCCACCCCCACGATCAATACGGAGGTGACTGAGCCAAGCGCAGCCTTGCCTGGGCCCCTCTGGCCAGTCGGTTGGCTTTCTGGCGAGAATCAAAGTAGCGCCACCAAAAAGAACGCACAAAATGGGGTCTCTCGGGTTCCCATGCGCCACTGCTCAGCCTCACAGCATTGCCCTTTCTCCAGACTTGCTTCCTATAACCTTGAGGGTATAGAACCACAGAGAAATGTATAGCTGGAAGGGACCCCAAGGGTCAACTCTCCTGGAGGAAGATTCCTTCCTAAGCCGAAAGTGGCGGTCAGCATTAACCCCGGGCGTGTAAGGAAGGGCCGGCCACGAGAGCTGAACATGGTCTCAACCCTTCCTGCCCGCCCTTTCACGGTCTGCCCAAATTCACAGAACCAGCATGGCTGTCCGACGGCCATCTAGCCTGTGCTTAAAAACCTCCAGAGAAAGAGAGCCCACCATCCCCCGAGGAACAGCTCCAACCGTCAGGAAGTTCTTCCTCATGTCTAGCCGAAAACTCTTCTGATTTAATTTCAACCCGTTGGTTCTGATCCGACCTTCTAGGGCGACAGAAAACAACTCCCCTCCGTCTTGTACAAATACTTGAAGGTGGCTGTGTGTCTTGGATTATGTCCGGGTCTCCCTCAGCTATAGATGCATAGTGTATAGCATTACACTATAGAGCCAGTTTGGTGTCGTGGTGAAGTGCGCGGACTCTAATCTGGGAGAACCGGGTTTGATTCCCCACTCCTCCACTTGCACCTGCTGGATGGCCTTGGGCAAGCCGTAGTTCTGATAAGAGCTGTTCTTGAAAAAAGAGCAGTTTCTGTCAGAGCTCTCAGCCCCACCTACCTCACAGGGCGTCTGTTGTGGGAAGGGGAAGGGAAAGGAGTTTGTGAGCCGCTCTGAGACACCTTTCGGTAGTGAAGGGCGGGATATAAATCCAATCTCCTCTTCTTCTTTTACCTCACAGGGTGTCTGTTGTGGGGAGGGGAAGGGAAAGGAGTCTGTAAGCCGCTCTGAGACTCCTTTGGGTAGTGAAGGGCGGGGTATAAATCCAATCTCTTCTTCTCTTCTTAATGGACTCCAGTTTGGTGTAGTGGTTAAGTGCGCGGACTCTAATCTGGGAGAACCAGGTTTGATTCCCCACTCCACTTGCAGCCGCTGGATGACCTTGGGCAAGCCATAGTTCCGTCAGAGCTGTTTTTGAAACAGCAGTTCGGTAGTGAAAGGCGAGGCATAAATCCAATCTCCTCTTCTTCTTCTATTGTACGGCCCTTCCTGTCCACCATCTTCTGTCTCTGTCTTCCTGGAGAAATGAGTAACGGAGGCAGCAATAGAGGTGGATCGGGCATGAGGGCCACTGTGAAAAGTTCCACTGGGGTAACGACCTAGGGGGGGTGCCACCCCGGCCCCTAACAATGGGCACCCCTCAATCGGTGTGAGGGGGGCAGCAGCCATGGTTGTTTCAAGCCAGCAAGCTGTCGCCCCATCCCAGGTGGGCAAGGAAGTCCGCCCCATGCTGTGTGTGGCGCAGAGTGGCAGGAGAGGCTCCGGGTG